GGGGGGGTGGAGGGTGAAGCAATCTTACGGTTAAATTTGCAGTATTCATTTTTCACGAAGTTTGCAATGTGATGTGACAACAATTTTTTATGTGGAATAAAATATTTTTATAGAACGTCACTGAAGGTTAATTTTTAATTGCCTTTTAATGCTTGGATTATACACATGCGTAACCTGGCGTACGTGATCACTTGTCGATATTTATCAATGGACAAGATCACGAAAGACTTTTCAATAATTATTTTTAACACGCAATTGCCTTGTTGTATCTCTTCCTTGTTGTAGACGTAGCTCACCCACGTGGTTGACTGGCTGATATTGTTTTTCTAAGCGAGTTCACGGTGACAACTTAACAAAGTATAATTACTCCTCGTAAAGTTGGGCAGACATCTCATCAGCGTTAATTTGGGAATGGAACGAGTTAGTAAGCGTTTTGCTCACGACTGTGCAACATGTACTGGCGCTAAGAAAAGGTAAAACCATTCACCATTTTTTCCCCCTACGTTCTTGTGACTTCGCAAACCTCCCTTCGTGACTCGTTACTCTATTTTTATCCGGTTCGTGCTGCTTTCTGTCATCGCGACCAAGAATTTTCACGTAGTATCTTTCTTAAACGCGTATCTACGATCGGAATCAAAATCTCAGCGAAAGACCGATCCTAAAACTGATGAGAAATTTCTCCCCTCGACGACAGAGAGCATCGCGTTATCTTTAGTCACAGGCCAAACTGTGTTTGAGATGCGAAGTTGTCTCTTTGGGGGATGCCAGTCAGTCGGGCGAAGGGGGTGTCGAGCGTAACGGGTTAGAGAGACGATAATATAGGGTGGCTGAGTGGGAGGGATGGATGCTTTGTAATTACGGCTTCTGATAAATGGAGTCGTGACTCGTTAATCCCCTCCAATTACATCTAATGGGGATCGTTCGCAACCGGGTCTGTCTTGCATTATTTTCGGAATCCCTGATTTCAATTTATGAAGTACTATACCCAGAGATGTACGCGAGCAACCCCTGTGCCAGACCTACCCTTCTTATCGCATATTAATTTCATATACGCAGCAGACTGATTAAAATGAAGATGTCAAGAACGCGATAATAAAAAAAATTCAATAATTTTTTTGGCAGCTTCCAATTTTTTTTATTTCTTCAAAATCACAAAAATGAGCATTTTTTAAAAAACACGTGTTTCCGGATACAACCAACGTGTTCTTTCACACGAATCGCGACGTTCACCTGGAATTAGACCATTACTCGAGATCGAGCGATGAGGTCCCTATATTAATTAGCTCATTTTTGAGTTCTCGTGAAGTCCCGCGTTACCTGAAACACGCAATCTTATTCGGACAGACAGGAGGTGGGCCCACGCCGGTAAAAACCATTAATTTCGAGGGACCAGGAAACGCGTGAGTTCTCGAGGATCAGGCTGCAAATTACAATCCCAGAGAAAATACAACTGGTCGGACTTACGTGAAAGCCATAACAGGAGAAAATGGGAAAGACCAAGTTTGAAAAATTAATTAGACATAAATTTAAAATAAAAATTTCGTTCAGCGATTAATACACGGTGTCCAATCCTACGCTCACCGTAAACGAGGTATCCGAGCAACGTGTCGATCCTATCACAAGGGAGCGGAGTGTGTGGTCATATGAGTTGGAAGCCTTGTGGGAAAGATGATATACGTACCTTATATACATACATATATACTATTCTCATATGGTGTTCTCATCGGAGTTCAGGAGCATGATGGCGACCACCCATTTTACGTTGAGCGCCGCGCACTATGTAGATCGAATGATTGTGGAACGGATATGGATGAAATGACCAACGTACGCATCATTTGTCTCAGAATGAATGGTACGGTAGGTACAGTGCGTATGTATATATAGGTATATAGCTATAAGATTGTAAAAGGGTGTTTAGATCGTGGAAGGAAATTTTTTGGGATTGGCTTCTGGGAAATATCATTGTCGACTCTATTGGCTCTTATCGCTCTTATCAAAAGTGAAAGACCTTATACCTCAAAAATGGCTGAGGGTATCGTTAACATCCGGGTTCTTGTTCACGTTGTTTAGTATACCTATATACTCTGTCTTACCAACGGTGAGAAGATCTTGGATTTTACAGATGAAATCGATTGAGTCTCTCGTGGGCGATTCTGGGTGATTAACGATGAGCATGTTGGGTACGTAAGCAAGTTTCTTTCGCGGGAAATAAAATACGATACTAGATATCTTGCTTTCTTGCCGAAGTCTTCGCTGTGCTTGAAATAAAAGGAATTTCGATGCAGGTCGGATACGTATAAGGGTTAACTGCAATATAACTCACTGTACGTCGATTCTTTTTAAGGATAAAAATCAATCAGAAAAAGTCACTAGGTATACTTAGTACATAGGTATATAAAATATAGGTGGATCATTAAACTGTGATTTAGGATTTTATTTCATTACAATACATCAAGTCATTCAAATAATTGGATCAGTTTTGTATGTGGTATAGATAATGGATTCTGTGAAAAGAGACACGTTACGTGAATTATAAAGCATAAAGTTCAAAAGGATCCGTGCAAACATGAGTGCGTGACAATTTTTGTAGCCAAAACACATAACCCGGTATAATTAATAGCGTGATGAAAAAATTTTGATTCCAACTACCATGTCTCTTTACACAGGACAGTTGATCGATCGAAAGGATGATTCGGGTAAATACAACGCTAACGAAGAAATATATAATTATCGTGTGCGAAATGGAGCACGGAATAATTTTTTGTACGGGCAACGTCCAATTACGTCATAAGTGTAGGAAATACAGTAAATCTACCAGACTGAACGTAGCCACGTTTGATCTTCTTATATTTTGTTCGATCTGGAAAGCATGTAATTAAAATACCATTTTCCATGGAGTAAATTGCCTATCGCTGATTATTCCTGAACAGGATAAATTCAAGAGCAGCAGGAAGCAATTATTTACGGCGCGCCTTAATTAATGCAATTATACTGCATTTATCGTGCGTTTAATCGGTTGCAGAGTGTCTCCTCGAGACACGGGTAGATAATGTTCTCGCCGGTTCTAGCGGAATAGTCTTCTCATTAGTTTTCACGGTGATCTCGCGATGCGTGGCACAAAAGGATGAACCGCGAACACATTATCGAAGGAACGAAAGAACGTCTAGAAAGGTTCTGTGTGCCTTTGTAGCCAGAAGGGATAGGTAGGCACCATGGGGTCCCTCAACACCATGCCGATAGATAGCGATTGCAATTAAGATTTGACCAGGTGATAATTAGAGGTCTTTTCTACGCAGTAGAATGCGTTCGCTCTTAGGTCAATGTAATCTACCTGGGTGTTAAAACAATAACAACAAAACCAATCGATACCATGCTATATCTATAGGTACAGTATGCAAAATCTTCGTACGTAACATTCCCACAATAAAACATATAAAATTAAAAAAAAAATAAATCTATAAAAAATGGAGTATTAGTCAAAATTGCGTAACGACCAATAAATATTATTTTAATTATAAATTTTTTCACATATTATTTTAATGATAGAATTAAAAATCGTGACTATAAAATAGGTATACACGTGTGATCGTCGCGCGAGTTATATAATTTCAAAATAGCTCGATACCCCATAAATCCCCACAACTCCCGTCCATGTTAAAATAACAAGAATCAGCTCCCTCGTACAGAATGAATCTCTGGCTGTGGTATCTTCGATCGTAACAGCAGTGACTACCGTGGGGGCAAAGCCGTAGAGGGTATCCCGACTCGTTACGGCTTATCTTGGCTGGGCTGTCTGGTCTATATGGGCGGAGGCAAAAGCGGGTCGGGCGGCTCCCATTCGCCTCCCGGGAGCCACCCTCTTTTCGAGCTGCCACACGTTTTCCCTCGCAGCTATACTACCGTGCCTGGTTCACGAGATGACGACACAAATGTATAACCTGACCCATGTGTGCGCTCACGCACGTCTACGCACTCACGAAGTGCGAGAGAGTGACGTAGTGCGCGCGCTACGAGAAACGGGTTGGCTGGTTCACCCTGTCTCACAGGGTCCCTCTTTTTATCTTTATCACTCTCTCGCTCTCGCTGCATCAGTTTATATCACTCTCTCTCTCTCTCTCTCTCTCTCTCTCTCTCTCTCTCACTGTCCATCTTTCTCTGCTACGCTATCCCTGTCTCACTATTCCCTGGAGAGACTACCGTATACCAGTGAGCTTTCCACGTTCGCCGTAACGTGTCGCTACCATAGACCCGCATCGGAGTCGGCACCCTGTCCAACGAAACGACTCCCACGCCGCTTTGTTGGCTTTGTTGGGGTTCCTTGCGCCCGCGTCCTGTTACAATCATGGCTACGTCCCTTCCAGCCAGTCTGGATTCTAGTCGATGAGTACCCCTTTTGGTCCCCTCGTTTTGACTGCAGACAAGCCAGAGCACTGTAAATGGGGCCCGAAGAAAAACAAGGATTGACCGAAATGTCTACCCCGGTGAAGACGGACGATCAGGGTGGTTGAAAATGAAATTCAGGATAGGGATGTTTCTCAACGACTCCCGACATCGTGATCGGATATTGGATCAGTGCGAAAATACATTATTATTGTAAATTACGAAACATTTATTTATTCATTTATTTAGGTTCTATCGACTTTATAATCAATATAAACACAAGCACTGTCGTGTGTCCGGTTTTTGTATCGTTATGATACAGTCTATATACATATAATATGGAGTATATCGTTACACTTAGATGACGTCTCATTAATCGTATGCCTATTACTTATCGCCATTAATTATTTTAGATCGGCTTAGAAATTAAGGATTTCTTAAAACTTTAATGTCGACTTACATGCTACTTTGTATAATTAATATTGTTTTGGTATATCGTCACAGCGACTCTGTGCATCAATCGTTTGATTTCTACTCGCTTAATAATACAACGGTTCTTTTTGCATGTTTTCTCGCTATTTAACGTACTTCTATGTCGTATTGGTCATTCTTTACGTTCACTCGATAAAAATAGAAATATGTATATATATATATATATATATATATATATATATATACTTTTGAGATAATATTTACAAAGTACCCTAGGGCGGGGTTTACACGCAGCTACCTGGCAGGTATTTGTGCATGACTGATGCATTTTGTTGGTTATCTCAGTGAAAAGCGTTAACGCGACATTAATGTCACTCGATCTACATTACGTATGTACACCGTGTATGAAAACCAACATGTTACATAGTTGCTTTTGATTGTAAGTAATTATAGGTATAAGTAGGTACTGGCTATGAATCTTGTAGTAGATATTATGTATCATCGACGAATTGAAGCAATCGATGATCTCCTCTTGGATGCCTATACGGAATTTCGTACCTAAATTGGTAATCACGTGACGCGATACCAAGATGACGGAAAGTAATACGAATGAAAAAGTGAATTGATTTATCCATCAAGCATCCCTTGCAAGGGTTTATTGTGAGGACGGAGGAAGCTTGCAACGCATCTCAACGAGATGGACCACTGGTGAGTGGTTTTAATAAGGAGCATAATAGACCTTAATTAGGCAAAGCAGGGTGTTGTACGCCTAATCGAGAGTAAGTTGAATATCCCGAGATCCCTTTTCCATGGACCTCCGGTATAATTCGAATATGATTATCCTGCTGCCGTCAAAGACCACCCGAGAGTATATGAAAATTTTTATGGTATGGGAAATTTTTCACAATTTTTTTTTTCGACTTTATTTTTACTTTACGTCATTCAATCTCATCTTTTTGTTCAAAAGTCGTACTGTGGTACGAAATAAAATTTTTTTTTTCACCAAGTGCATTCGCATTGTCGTAGGACCACGTGGATGTACAAGTAACATAATTAATGAATCTTGGGCGTGACAGGATAATTTTTCTTGCGTTGCATTTCATCGGGTTGTGCCGGGTTATAAATACTGAATAATTTTCTTGGCGTGGGGTTAAAAATAGTTCGGTTGTCTCCCCGTAGAATCGCCGAGATGTCAAGGCAAGTAATATTTACGACGTGCATTTCTAGGTAATCGTATCCCAGAGGGGGAAGTGTTCCTCTTGAAAATTTTCAAGGGTTAACTATACGCTAACATTACAATGTTAGAATACGCACGTAACTGTGCATAAGAAATTCGCATTAGAAATTATTAAAAACGTCCTCGTCGGCGCTTCGGTAAAATTTTTCTAAACGTATGAAAGACAAACTACTTTACACGTATAATTAAGATCCAGGGAGTTAACTAACCATCGCATTGTCATTGTCTCGTAAATACCTTATACGCTCGTTTGACTTTTCATTATCCTCGTTCAAACATTACTCGAACGGTGGTTAAACGAGCGTAAAGTTTTGTATGTCGTACGCGTCACGATAACGCTTTCAATTATAGCTACACGTATGTACAGAATTTATCAGATTTTATTTACATCATAGATACGCGACAGTGATCGCACCCGAATTTATAGACACGCCATTAATCAATAATCAATCGATCGTTCGTCCGATTGTGAATTTTATACATGGGAGACACGAGGACCGTTTCGTATAACAGTAAGATGTCTAATTTTCCTTTAAAAAGTCACATTCAAGATGGCATCTTGCAAGCGAAGACATTCATTTCCGAGATTTAGTAAATTGACAGAAACAATGGAAAAAACATATAGCTATCTACTTAATGGCACGTAAGGGACAATTAATATATAATCGATTAAAATCTACGACTCGAGGATTTGATTATGACGTAAACGAGATGACTCCTGATGTTGACATTTTTTTTAAGAGACCAAAAGACGTGCTCGTGTTAATACTTCGAACGAATCGCAACATCTTCCTTCTCGTAAGACACCCATCGTTTCACAATATCCCGTGAGAACATAGCACTAAATAATTTCTTGATGAGTTACCCATAACGATACCCCGTGACAGGCCTATGCTGATTCACTAAGATCATCACGGTCATAGATCGTATACCAGCTCCCAAAGGATCAGTCATATTCGATCAGCCATACAAAAGACCAATAAGGACCATCAGACTCGCATTCGTGGAACAGCAAGTGCAGACTAAGAAACGTAAGACAAAGAAACGGTAATCCAGGAATTGAATCTATCAATGACTATGAATAGACGAGATGGAAAAGGAAGCTAGTGGGATATGACGAAAGGTGAGAGAGAAGACGAGGAAGAAGATAAAGGCGATGAGGAGTGCAAGTGCCGATCGGGCAAGTCGCAATTTATCAAATAGGAATCACTATTCTTCTGGTGTTACAGGGCCGTAAGTCCGTAGTCGGACTTGATGGCCGGCGTGGGTGCTGGAGCAGAGAGACCAGGGGGACTATTTGCAGGAGCAAGAGGACTGATGCTACCAGAGGCCATGTGTCCAAGGGGGCCCCCAGTGCCGTCCATCATGCCCCCGACGTGAAGGTGACTCAGCTGTGTCTGAATGTGTGCCAGAGGATGAGGATGACCTTGAAAGCTAGGATGAGCAGCGTGTGGATGCGGAAGTCCCGCATTCACCCCGTGAACGTCACCCATGTCTAGACCGACGCTTCCATCGAGGCTACTTTCCATGCCGCTAGATGGCGAGTTGTTGTTATTCTTTCTCTGATTGTTATTATTGCCGGTTCCCGACTTCGCCCTGGACCCGGAACCCTTCGACGACTTCGACGGCTGCGCGGCGCCGTTTGCGTTTTTCCTACGCACGTTCTTCGTGTTGGGCAACTTGTTATCTTTCTTCCATTTCATGCGGCGATTCTGGAACCATATCTTGATCTGCCTCTCGGAGAGGACCAGGGTGTGCGCGATCTCGATGCGCCTTCGTCTCGTCAGGTAACGATTGTAATGGAACTCCTTCTCCAGCTCCAGGATCTGGTGCCTGGTGTAGGCTGTCCTCTGACGCTTCGGCTCCATCCCTGGCTGGTACGAACCGTTCGCTGCAACAAAAAAGGAGATCGAGCCTTTAGGTACCGCCGACGGGCTTTCTGTCTGACTATGGATGCCCATTAGTTAGCCATCTGTTGATCTCGGAATGGACGTTGGACTCACGGATTGCATCACGCGTTGCTTCAATTAACGCTATTGAAACGATAATTTTAAACATTAAAGATCTACGCTCCTACTTGTGACCCGTTCGGATGTCGCCTGCTGTGCAATGTGTCTGGGCTGTTTTATATGTCAACGTAGGCACTTGCTCGTAATCGATCGTTTCAATTAATTTATATATCGCGGGCTATCGGATGACTTTGAAGATTACAGGTAATCTCGAAATGTATCTGTACTGATTGAAGAAAACTTTTGTTTTATCGATAGACGCGTATCGATAGCTCGTTCTGTTACTCTAGCGACATATGTAATCTGCATATGGTATACATTCAGGTCAATTTTTTATTAAGTATTTTTAGACTACACGCGAAAGTGTATTACTTTTGTACGCGTATTTATTAATTGTTTTACGATTACAAGATTATAATATGATTTATTTGGTATTTAGAATGTATTATCGGCAATGACGTGTGCTTGAAGACTGTTCTTAGAGGGTTTTGTGCTTAAATGCTAGCTGCGAATCAACGTACCGCTTAAGCAACTTGTCAGATTGACAAGCAATTTTTTTTGTGTCTATGCATCTTATTATTAATGCCGCATTGATATGCGTATATGCCAAAAAACATTCTTATTACACAATTTTCCATTTACCATGCTGAATCAAAACGTCTAGACCATCGATGGCCTTCGCTCACGTATAAGTGACTTGTATGCAAGTAAGTATCCTCTAGAGTACAGTGGACTTGCAACACTTGTCATATAACTCACGTGAAGTGTGTGTGTGTGAAACTGGCTGAAGGATTCTTTTGTTCTTGCCACACAAAAAAACTTATGCATCTAATTTTAAACAATATATTGAAAGATGAGAAAGAAACCGACTTGGATAACCAAACATTAAGATTGTCAACGACGAAGGATTATTCTGTTAAAGTAACAGTGGATTTGTTGCACTTAGAGGAAACAAAAATAATAACGAGTGTATAGAAACAGAGAAGGGTTGAAGTTTTTTTTTTAAATGATCGACGTCCTCAAGAACCCTAATTTGTAAGACGTCTCTAATGTCTGTCATAAATGACGGCAAACATGGCATCGGGACGATTCTTCATTTTGTCATTCGTTAGTCCATAACAACAACAGAAACAATAGCGCAGTAGAAGAATCCTCGGTATATCCTCGAAGCAGCATGATTTCCGAGTGTCATTGTGCCACGCTTCACATCAAAAATAAAAGAAAAGAGCCAAGTCGCGCGTGCACTGAACAAGCACAATACGGAGTCTCGAAATAAATGCAACAACAACTGTCTATATATGAAAGAGAACCAGTTTCAAGGCCGATCGGTATAGCTCGCCGGTATTTGTCATGGATCGAATAAAGCCTTTCATGGCGATGCAAATACGAATCGACTCACAAGTGATTATTGTGAGCAAAGAGAGAATAAAAATAAAAGAAATTTTTCCATCAAGCAGAAACAAAAAAAAATCAGTATACAGCAATTCTGTCCGATTATTAGATACGGTCATTTGTAGGAAATTTGACATGGTTTTTTTTTTGTAAATCTTTCAATTTCGAAAAATAGACATTAGTGACGTCATATCAAAATACAGTGGACTTCTAGAAGCAACGCAAAGAAACGAGTCGTTACCATATAACGGGGATGCTGCGGTCTTCAAGAACGAGCGATTCCTGGTGGTCCAGGTGCGTCTATAGGAAGCAAGGGAGAAGAAGAGCATAGTTTCGAATCAGTGCAGGCAACATTCCATTCCTGATGCTGAACGCTAGCCAAGTCCCCTTTGGACTGTGGCGTCCGGCGTCCGGTGTATCCGGCGAGGAGCGATCAGCATCCAGAAGGGGAGATTGCGGCGTCCGACAGGCGCATACCAGGACTCAGGGTTGTACGGGTTTACAACCGAGAGCCGAAGACCAACCGCAATCCGTAATCAAAGCTCGCTACAGCATCCTTGCTTGATACTGACACCCAATATATACGTATATATTTATCTGTATCATATACCATTGTACTGTAAGCCGGTTTACGTATATATGTATATACACGTTAAATTGCTCTGAATAGTAATAAGAGTACAGAATATATTTGGATACCTGTTTAACGTGTAGGGTGTTACATTAATATTGAATAAACCAGTAGTAAAAATTTAGCATAGGTTAACGTTTCAATTAAATGTATGCACTTGGTAATCATGAAAACGAACTATAACTTCCGTATAATAATGACGAACGAAATTGTATGCTTAAAAAAATGTTGACAGTTGTACCTATATGAGCAACAAATTGCAAATTGCAGTAAGCATTAAAGTCTCGTTAACAACATCGTACTAGTTCCTTTGTCATGTTCTCTGTTACCTGGAAATAGGAATTATGGCAAAAGGCTGAGACGCGTTATAGACGGTATTCTCTGTATCCCGATAGCTGGCGGATACTTGCAAGTTGTAATGATCGGCAGTTTTCATGGTCAGAGAAATGCTTTCTCTCTTGAAAATGGAAACCCGCGTGCAAACGGCTAAAGTCGAAGCGAGGTCGATTCCGGAAAGTGTTACGTTGCAAGAATTCTTTTTACGACTTTTTCCCCTCATTTTTCTCCCTGCCAAGAGTCAAGACGCAATTGTCGCTTGTCCCAGGACGATCTTTAGCTTTCACTGTTGAGGATGTGCCACAAGGATATTTCGACATTTAAAATTTCACTAGAAATAATGTATTTTATCAATGAAAACGTTATAACTTTTTTTTTGGCAAGCACAGTAAAATCATAAAATTCGAAATTTGATAGAAACCACGTAAAATAGAAAACATTACGTTTTTATTCACCCTGTACGAAATTGGCTTTAGTTGGGATTGTCGTAATCATTGTCAGAAATTGCTATTGCATTTACTACGAATAAGAAGAGGGCCGAATGGAGGTATATAAATTTTATGGCATATGACCAGTAAAATCGATAACCTCAAAAGACATTGAAAGGTTCGTGGAACGTGCAATGACGAATTAATAATCCTTATACATCCGTCAAGGACCAAGTTCGCCTGACTATGTCCCATTAGGAGGATCCTTTGTCGAAATACACTTTGTTCTTCATTGTTTAATTTTTCTATAATACGTGTACAATTTAAGGAAGACACTGATACACATAATAACGCTACGGGCAATGTGTAGAAAAATGAATGAAACCTTAATTAAGGGTAAAAAAATTTTTTTTAATAAAATAAATCTACTGTGTATACACGCGTGTACAATTTCTCGTACGAAATTGAAAATTAACACATGTAGCAGTGTTAATGACGCGGAATCAATTTCTGACGACATGTATAAGTACAGTCTGCGAAGAGTCAACAGCCTAATTGTCAGTGTGTAATGCTTGAGAATTAAATATATGGCGCTGTCTGGTAGATTCGTACCAATTATATTTCATATCGAAGAATTATACTTTATAGGCATTGTTACTATTCTTGAAAGCTACCATTTGGTTAATAGTAACACGATTTTCAGATACACTATTAGTAACTGGTTCAAGTTGCGCGAAATATTAGGCACAAAAAAAGAATATTTTTCAACCGGTCCCATGATTGATGAACGGACTCGCATAACAGTGTTCCTGAGCTTCGCTAAACTAGTGGGGATCATTGAATGATGAAAATTTGAAAAAAAAATTATCGACCGAACTGAATAAGGTAAGTCACGAAAAAAAGGATTAAATCATCTATAAACACGTGAATAACTCTTTTCAAATTATCTCAATAGTTACACTGGTTCACGTAGATTTAATAACAGATATCCCGTAGCGACAATGACACAGGAGAAAAAGATCTAAGGAAAAGTGATAAGACAATCATCAACTTTTACTGCGTTCGTTCAAACGCCCAATGCATTGCTGCAATGATAATTCAATAATGGATATATGTCTGGTATTAGAAAAATGTTATCAAGAATAATTTTGTATTATTTATACATATTTATTATGGTGGCACAATGCTGATAATGTTTCTATTCATGAAATCCACGTGTTACGATAGCAGCCGTAGAGTCAAAAAATCATGGCTTCTATCTGCACACATCCCGTAAATGTATTTTAAGCTTCGTAAGACTGTTCTTTGGATCTATGCCGCCTGTGCTTTCTAGGAATGAAGATGATATATTTGCCAATGGGGATAAAGCGTAGTCTGCTCTTGGGAAATCATGATAAATAAGTCGTAACCAATTTCTATTTATACTGTCGGCGTGTGAGCCAGACAGAACCCATAGGAGACAGGTGTGGACAAGGTGCACCGTTGAATTTTGTCTCGTATGTCTTCCGTCGCTTGCAAAGGCAATGGCTGCCCCATCGAGACAGACAATTTACACTCCGATTCGACATGTAAGGTGTATAGCGCTACTAGGTATAGTAGGTGCATCGTAACAATGGGATTTTATGGGATTCACCAAGCTATTGGTAAAATTGATGTGTACCGATTGTATCCCAAGAAGGCAGCGTACTCTTTCGTTTTGCACTGCTTGAAGAAATTCATTGCGGAATTTTTCTGATATTTATGATATTTCAGTAAAAAGCGTGACTGTGAATTGGAATATAAGAAACTGTGTAAGTATAAGATAATGCAGAATTTTTGAATGAATTATTGAATCTTTTGTCGCTTTGAGAATATTTCAAAAGATATATTGATACACGATGGTTTTATTCGTACCCTGCTTTTTATTTGTATTTTAATGAAATAAATGAAGAGAAAAATTCACTAATTTTTTAATAGTAGAACATGATATTTTAATAACTTTGTTTTATACAATATATTTGACAAAGGGTAGAACCAAGAACAAATTTTTAATTATTTATTTTCCCAATACCAATGGTCACCTGTCCGTCGGATACCATTTGGAGTCACTAATAAATCAGTATAGGATAGTTTTTATAGAATTTTTGATAATGAGAAATATTTATTGCGTATATTTTTTTTATGTAGAGGACATTGTTTTATTCGATAAAAAATCTATGTGGGTCAGAAATAAAATATTGATTATGCTGTTTCAACGGAGTAAAATGGAACGGAGAAACGATAATAAAGTCTTGTCTTATTCATAAACGATGGAAAATAATTCAATTTAAAACTCACCAACGCCAGCAACGTGTATCTTCTTCATCCATGGGTAAATAACTCGATCGCCATTTTCCTCATCGTCATCGTCGTCCTCCATCCCACCAGGTGAACCGTCCATCATCTGATCATCCTCCATATCGTCTTGATCGGAGCCGTCATCAAGATGATGCTGTTGTTGACTGCTCTGCAGATGCTGCGAGTGCTGTGACGGTTGTTGCTGCTGTTGTATGTCAGGTGAATTGTCCCGGTGTAGTGATCCAGAACCAGCCGGGCTGCAAACACTATTTTCATGTTGCTGCTGTTGTTGGGACTGTTGTTGGTGCTGCTGATGTGGGTCAGATTGCTGAACATGATTCGGCATGAGAGACGGCGACAATGCAGTGGAACCAAGTACAGTTGATGCCGAAACTGGTGGCTGTTGTTGCTGTTGCGGCGGTTGTTGTTGGGTCTGCATAGACGGTGGACACGTGAGAGGTGGTTGCTGAGCTTCGGGCGGCATAGCAAGGGCGCCAACCGCATGATGATGTGGATGAAGACTCGGATGATGAACAGCATGAACCTGATGATGAGGATGATGAGGTCCGTAATATCCACCATAACCAGCATATCCGCCATTAAGTTGCACAGCGGTAGATGCTCCGTAAGGAGTGGACGCAGCCTGATGATGATGCTGATGGTAACCATATTGAAGTTGATGAGACTGTGGATGATTCAAATGATGTCCGCTACCAAAGAAATCAGCCCCCGTAGACGGGATATAATTGCTCTGACTGTACTCTTCGCTAGGTGGAAATTTGGGATCAACGACAACCGAGGTCGCTGTCAAATGATGAGTCCCAGGCTGCTGATGTTGCTGATGGTAGCCACCGGCTGCGGATGGATTCATTAGGAAAGAACTCATGTCTTTCTTCTGTTTAACCTAAACAATCTTAAGATAAAACAATCCCAAACCGGTCACAGGAAGTCCAATCGACAAACCGCAATATTATTGAACACTCTCGCACCGCGGTCGCACGCACAACACTTCACGATGGTCCATCATCCCGCTCAGCCCTCTTGGCCAGGGCTAACTTTTTTCTCACCACCGTTCTCTCTACGCTATCCCAATTTCACACTCTCTCCACGACTCCGTCTCTCCTGTCTCTTCGTAGAAGAGTCGAGCGCGGATTCGCGACGGGAGTCCGCACGCTCCCTCACTCTTCTTCCGCACTTTCGCGATCTTCCACGGAGTAGTAGCTCCTTCGCGCGTCGGCACGAGGCCAGGCTAGCGGTTCCCGCCCACCGGTGCCCAATTATCATACCACGTGACCACGGAGAGCCAATCAGGGCTGGGCTGCGTCCGCGACCATGATGGATAGCCGGCACGCACACGGCGTGTGAGTGGCGCCCCGAGATCACTGCGGCAGGTGCACCAACTTCTTTCTCCTACCTTTTACGTTCTTTCACCTACACGTATCTCCCAATGTACGCACTTATGCGCTCACACGCAATTACCGGTGCATCAATTTCTGCGGGGCTAGTACGTCAAATTATTCTACTGTTAAATCCAGTTGGCACACTTAAGTATCTCTTGAGGTTTCCAACTATCACAACGGCCACTTTAAAAGTACATTCGAGCGCACTGCAGCGTATAGATTTGTTATTTATAGCAACACTTCAACTATATCCCTTAGCTCGGCTCAGCTGATAGTCCAACCACCAGTACGCTATCACACTGTCTCCGATCACTGTTCTCACTATCCTTTCCCTAGTGATTTTTAACGACTACTATTCGCGCAGGGAAACCTGTCAGAATGTCATGGAAGTTGAGCTCGCGGTGCCTCGGCACAAACTCGTCTGGCAAGTCTGTTTGGTTTGCGCTGCCTCCAGCTCGCTCCGCCAGCGGCGACTCGGAACCGATGCCAGGAGCAATCCCCCCACCTCTTGAGCGATCCCCACCCTTAGGAAACACGAGGCCAACCCCTGGCTCGTTCTAACCCCTAGGAACCTCATACCCTCACAGGCACACTTCGTACTACCTACGGGGGAGTTACTCCTACGGGTTTCCTTATCCCGCCTTCTCTCTTCGAAATCCATCTTTTCTCTAAAACTTAAACCAGAACCATGCTCCACGCAAATTCAAGACAAAGGGATGCTTTAGTTATGGAATTTTTATAAAAGGCTTTAGGTATAGATATATACATTTTTTTTCAAAAGAATCACTTAGCTAGACTCCCCATCATATACTATCATAGCATACTAATTTCTTCGTACTCGTATCATTATTAATGGTATAGTACAGCTATTTTGTACGTTCGCAATTTTTTGTACAGTTGCTATACATTTCGGTACTGCATGTAAACTGCGAGCATCGCGTGAGAATCACTGTAAGTTATATTGAAAATAATGGCTACCTTAGGCATCATCCTTAGCTTAAGTGGTACTTTACAACGTGTCTTCTCGCGGCTCGGCCAAGTACACCTACTTGTGGCGCAGTCGTGGCGTGTAAAGGGCATGAAACGCCGCGTCATTACACAAAGAGCATACTCACTGTGTTTTATTGTGCCACGGTAATACAATAAAGTTTTTCTCCGACGCGATACCGGGAATTACATGACGGAATTAGTCGAACCAGACAACCCCTTGGTACTTACGATATACGTCTAGTTAGTAGATCAGTCCGATGGACTAGTATGTCGTTTCGAAAAAAAAAAAAATTAAAAACTTCCCATAAGGAAGATAATCATCATTAGGTGTACTGAGGAATGGCTTTTTTTATGAGATGTCTATTTTATTATATAAGATTTTATCATAGCGAATATTACGTTTTAATTCTGAATAATTGATTCTGACCATAATTATTATTTGTATAGAAATGTATGAATCAGTATGTAATGTATAAATATAGCCATGAGTTAAGGTATCTTCAGACGGATAGACGCAGTGAGACTATGTAATTTTTAATTAGAATAATGCCGGTAAATGCTAAATAAAGGATTTTTCATGAAATTCGCAAAATGAAATCAAGAGATCAGGATCAACGTAGGTACATATACGTGAATAGCGACATCCTAGTGCAGGGTAGGACAGAAGGCCGCCATACAATAGATACGGCAGTTGTTATTCCATGGTTCAAGGCAACCGTGAATAATCGTTATAAATTATTTCACTGGGCATAGAAAAATCGGTGGGTCGCGCGCGTGGATATTGATTTTCGCAAAAGGGAACTTTGGCAAAACAACCGACGGTTCTTTGTCGGATTTTACTTTCTTCGTGAAAGCGCACTGTACTCGATTTCACTGAATCATTAAGAACGTTATACCCAGACAGGTGCCATTGTCAAAAAATAAGCTTAGGAAAGAATAATTGAAATTGAAAAATTTTTATAAAAATTCCAAAATACAAAATCCTGTTCCTCACGAGACACCCCTATTAACGAACCGGTCTGTTCTTTGGGGCATTTCAAGAGCGTAAACGAAAAAAAAAAGTTGATTGGATTATTTGGGGCAAGTTGTAACCTACCTCGAAGAAAAAAAAAGGAATAAAACTATCCAAGGAGAAAATAACGAAAGACAGGTAGGCCGTAGACAGAGCCCAAACGTGTTCGCGTAGGAAAGATACTTATTGATTAAAGAAGTCTTATTGATGGACGGATGACGTGGCTACGTCGTGGCCTCCCAGTGGCAATGTATTTACGTAAGACGACCAGGCATTCATTACCCGCAACGTTTCATTTTATCTATCGCCACGGACCGTTACACCATGACTCCTCGTTGCCTTGACGCAAGTACAGACACCGGTACAGAAATTCATGCCCCGTGGCAGTAAAGATTTTCCCTCAGTGAGAAAAGTCCAAGTAGAGTAAAGATTCGGCGCAAATTTCCATCAGAGCAGAAAAGCCCTGAGGCCTTCGCGACTGAAGATCCAGGAGTAACGATAGCGTAAGGACATTTCGTCCTTGCGAAACTTCAGCCCTTTCTCCGCGTATTCCAAGGAGGGATGAGCCCCAGTGACAATCCCAAGTGGAGGACCGAGAGGCAATTCAGCGAAGCTGAGAACGCGTCACCTGCTTTTTGTTCGAACGACTCACTTTTTTCTACGTTGGTACACACTACGTGGCGCGTTGAGGTGCCACGAAGCGCCGTGGCGTATTTCTATTTTTCTTTTGTCCACTTCACGCCGCTCTCGCGCTTTCTTCTTTTTCATCTACCCGCTTCAGCTACGAGAGAGAGAGAGAGAGAGAGAGAGAGAGAGACAGAGAGTCTGGGATTCGAGTGGAATCTGGTGGAGTCCAGAGGAAGTTGGTGTAAGGGTGCTTCCTGAGGATGGCGACGAGGTTTGTCTGAAGGGTGTAGGTGACGCAAGCTCGAGGACAGGGAGTACTAGAGCGAGTGCGAGAGAGACGTGCTCACAGAGGAATCATCAGGCTAAAGGGAGTGCGCCATAGAGAGATAGAAAAGGACAGTCCAAAGGGAAAAGAACGAGAGTAGCAAAGGGAGAGCTAGGGGAATAGAAGGGACGATATCTTCTCGTTTTGCGGCTCGAGCTCTCCTCGTCTCTATCATCGCAGTGTTCCCGAAGTTCTCTTCCTCCTCTCTTGCCAGTACTCTCCTTCGCCTTTCTCTCCTCTCTTCTCTTCCGGCGAAACACAATCAATCACTTCTCCCGGGACGCCGGCATGACACCCCCTTTTACTCCTACTGCCACCCCCCCC